ATTAAAAAAGCAAATGTCTATTTAGGGACTCCTGGTGTGGTAGCCTGCCAAGTTAAAAACACGGCTGAAGTAAAGGCCTATGGAAATTCTATGTCATGTCATGTAAATAGTTTTGTTGTTGTTGTTGTTGTTGTTCTTGTTGTTGTTGATGTTAGAGATACAATGTGTAAAATGCCACAATATTTTTTCTTTTGCTAATGCTTAAATATAGTCTTCAAATAAAGTACTGCCTAGTCACATGTGAAAAAGTATTTTTTTTTTCTAGAAAGAATATTAGCTAAAATTGAGAGAAAAATGATGTGGGAAAAAATGGTGGTGGAGGTGCAGTTGGGGTGTTCGCTAGCTGGACAGTGTAGGCGTCCTGGCTGTTTAAAAGCAACTGTGACTCACTCTAGTCAGTATTCTTCACTCTTGGGTGGAAGTTCATCAGCACCAGTTAGGTCAATGTAACCAACAGAGGTCAGAGTCCCAGCTACCCCCTCTTGACCTCCCAAACCAAACAATTAACCTTTAAAACAACAGTCACAGCAAAAAGAAAGGCCGGTCCAAGCTCCATCAAACACTAATTTTGCTGGTCAGTGTGTTACAAAGTTGGACCAAATCCATGAATGGTTCTTTCCAAGCTAAATACTCCATCTACCTAAATGTATGTATGTATGTATGTATATATGTATGTATTTTTAAATTTGTTAACATTGTTAACAATGGCTTACTCAAAATGAAGCCATTTCATTTTAATTGACTTATAGAACAGCCTTGATCTTAGAACAGGAAAAACATAATGCTACCAGGAATGCTGGCTGAACTGAGGCAAGTTCTGTGGCAGTTCAAAAGGTATCTGACGTGTTGTCTAGCGTCTGTAGTCGTTTCAATGAACAGGGGGCAATTTCACTGATTCATTCTAAGATTTACTTCAAATTCTCACTCAAATTTTTGATATCACTAATAGAATTAGTATAATTAATAAAACAACTTTACAGATATATCTAATGACCATAGAGGCTTACTAATGTGAAAATCACTAGATAAAATCAATGATGTGACTTAATGATTAAACAGGTTTAACTGAGCACCCATTTAATGCAGTACAAACTGGTTACTCCTGTTAAACTCCAAGTTGGTTAATTTCATACTTGCCTCCATTTTGCGATTGTTCTTTCTCTGACCTCATGGTTTTCCTGTTTTCACAGTTATAGTATGAATGCAGGTGACATTTTTATGTCGGCTAAGCAAAGATTATACGCTTTATGTGCTAATGAAAATTTTGTTACATTTGCCAAACTTCTTCAAGTAATTTGGATGTCCCACTTAATTCTCACCTCTTGTTACTCAATTCTTTCAAGAACATTTTGGTCTTTGTCAGCTACGAAAATTGTTGAAGCCTGAAGTATACCAAAATTCTAACTCCGTGATTGGGCCGTCATGGCTGGCAGTGAGGTTTTCTCAGAGGATAGATTAGTCATTCGTCTCATTCAGTTTGCTCTTCCATATACACGACACAAGTCAGTGTTTGTTATGACTTTCCTGATCCTTATTTATAAGACAATACACAAAGAAACCATGTGTGTATTTGAAATAGAAATGATACATTGCACAGATAGAGTTCACTACATTCTGGGATGGGTTGTCAGTGCTCAAATAGGGAGTCTGGAGAGCAGGAACAGATGCTTTTTTCCTTAATGGCTCTTTCTATAATTTAAAATCCTTCCATTTATTTCCCTGATTTAGTGATAACTTTAAACACTTTAACTAAATTACCCAGCGGCTTGGCAGCCATCATGGAGGCAAATCTTTTTAGAAATCGTAGCAATCTGTTAGATCATGGGTACTATGATATAAAATCTGCATGCTCCACATACAAAAATTAAATCAGTGCAATGGAGACAAGTAAACGCTGGAAATGGCATCACTTCCAAACCGAAGGGACATGACCTGTCTCCAAATATTGAATTTCTGCAGGTTTTCAGTCATTGACTTTCTAAATTTGAGCCAATTTATTCTCATTATCCCTAAGTAAACCTACTTTCATTTTTTTTAACAGTTATTTTATAATCAAATAGAGCCAGCCAGCCTGATTCATGGATCCTGATGTTGCTAGGATACATGATTTGGTATTTGATGAAAGTATATCACTTCAAAGGGGAAAAGTTTCAAGTGTCCTAGAAAATGACACTCCTGTCTTCCACCAGAGGAAACAAGCCCAATCCCAGAGCTTCTGTGAAGCTCACAGACTGCAGGATTGGTCTCCCTAAACTTTGAAATAAGCTTCCTGTCTGGAGGACTGTTCAATTGCTACCACTAGCCAAGTTGGTCTTAAAGCAAGGAACACATGTATTTATAATAAAACACATTTTCATATTTGTTTTACAGTGAAGAGAAAAAAACCCAGAACCCCCAGATTTTATGTACTTTGAAAATATATTTAAAAACATTAAAAATTCTATATTTAAAACATATATTATATGTTAATTGGT